TGAATGAATTACTAAGCTCCTAAAATATGCCAGGCAATGCTTTAGGTGGAAAGATGCATGGTGGACAAGAAGGACAAAATTCTTACTCTTGTGGCGAATGCATTACGGTGGGTGAGACAGGTAATCCGTAAGTAAACATGTCAGTTACATTATTTTGCAACAGCAAGCAGAAACACCAAAGCCACATCCAGGATGTGGAGACAGATTTGTTTACGTCAATGGGATCATTCCCAAAATATCAGGCTCTGATCTCTGTGGTCTAGGGCCACAGAGATCATCTCTTAGATGAGATAAGTAAGCAGGAAGTGCAGAGGTAGAATGGCTTCTCAATGGGGGACTGGCTTGTATGACGTGCATCATAGTGACCAGCTATGCATCACAGTGTTCTGTCATTTCTAGGAGACAGGAGCAGCCTGACCTGGAACAGGAACTGTTACCTGGGCAACTAAGAAACTGAAGCGTACTGGCAGGGGGACATTTTCTGCTACAATTTCAGGTGACAATAAGCACTGTGGAAAACAAGGCAGAGTGTGAGGAAAAAGGAATCCATTTCCACTTTTGGTGGCAGTGTAGACTGGTGCAACCACTGTGGAAATCAGTATGGAGATTGCTCAAAAAACTAGAAATGGAAGTCCCATTCTACCAGCTGTTCCCCTTTTGGGTATCTTCCTAGAAGAATTAAAAACATTTTACCATGGTGATAGATGCATGTCCATGTTTATAGCAACATAGTTTGTAATACCTAAGTCTTGGAAACAGCCCGAATGCTCATCAGTGGAGGAATGGATAGAAAAGATGTATTTTTATACCATGGAGTACTACTCAGCCACAAAGAAGGATAAACTTGAGACATTTATAGGTAAATGGATGCAACCTGAGACCATACTTATAAGTGAAATAACTCAGACTCACATGTGTATACATTGTATTGTCTCCCTGGTGTGAGAAACTGAAAGAGTAAATAAGGTGCAAAATGCACAACAGATATTGTGCATTGGGAAGCAACTGCTCAAGAGGAAAGAGAAATTGGGGTGGAAAAAAGGAAAAAGGAAGGAAAAGAAAAGAAAAAAAAATACAAGACAGTTAAGATAGCTACATTACTAGTTTTTCTTAGCTCACTGAAAAGGTTTATGCTAATATCATTTGGACAATTTTTCATGCCTATATCTTGGACTCTGAGTAGTTACTTTGAGAACAACAATGTGCACTGTATTCACTATTGTTACTCTCTTATCATTTTGTTTTGAAATTCTGTTTTACTTTTTTCTTTAAAATAAAAAATAAAATAAGACAGAAGGTGGGGATTGAAGGGAGAAGCTTCCTGAAATAAGATCTCTCTGAGAAAACAGCATTTGAACAGAGATTTGAGTCACGGTAGAAGTGAGTCATACAAAGACTCAGAAAGATCATTCCCAGTGGAGGGAACAGCAAATGCAAAGAGCACAGTGAGGGTGTGAAGGACCGCAAGAAAGCGCCTGGAGCGAGGGGCAGGATGGGGCGGAAGGCAGGGAGTCCGTAAGACGTTTGGATTGTTCCAAAACACCACGACAGCAGGTGGAATGTTGGGCAATGGAAAAAACAGACTATGACCTCTGGTATGTGTGTGTGTGGGGTGTGTGTGTGTGTGTGTGGTGACTGAATTGTAAGGAGCAAGAATAGAAGCAAAGAGAACACTTGGTAATCTATGGCTGCGGTCCAAAAAAGAGATGAGGATGGATAGGAGGAAGCCGGGAACTGTGGAGCTGATGAGAAGTGGCTGATTTGGGACTTTTTTTTAAAGGTATCCTAGAAGGGCTGGATGGCTTTGGTCAGGGGCATAGGGAAAGCAGGTGGAGGGTGACCAGGGCTTATTTGGTTAAATCACTTGCCAAGGGCTGGTGCCATCCACTTAGAAGTTAGCAAGTTCGGGAAGAACAAAAAGTCAAAATTCCTACATGGCCATATTACAGTCTTTTCTGAGGCTAAGGAAAGCTTCAAAAATAGCTTTATTGAGATATAATTCATACACTGCACAATTCATCAATTTAAAGTACACAATCCTTTTATTACTGTGCATATCTGTAAGGGTTTTACACCCACCACCAGCTGTGCAGGTCTTAGGTCTATCCCAAAGTCAACTTTAGAACATTTTCATCGTCCCCCAAAGTAAACCCCACAGCCCTTGCTGTTTCCTCTAATGCCCCCCCCCCCCATATCTAGGCAACCAGTAATTGAGCCTAGGATTCAAAGGAGAGACTGGGGCAGGAAACACGCATTTGAGAGTCACTCGTAGATGTTGTTAAAGGGAGCGAGTGTGGTTAGAAGGCTGAGGACTGAGCCCTAGGCATGTGGGGGTCTAGAAAAAGAGGCAGAATGATGATCAAAGGAAGCCCCTGGCACCAGAGAAACCATGGAGGCCCGTTGTCCTGCAGGGGAAGATGGCCTTGGGACCTGGTGCTAGATAAGCCAGTTTCTGCCTCCACTTGCAGCACCAACTACCAAACACGTAAGCAACCATGTTGCCGCTAGAATTTCTTGGGTCTATTCTATGAGGATTTCCTTAGCCTAACAGATCCATATAAAAAATCCTCACTCAAGAAACGCACTTGTAGGAGGAGACTGAAGTACTTAGTTACCTAGGAAAGATTTATGACCTTGTGGAGATTAACCCTTGTTACTGTTAATGGATGTGGTGCTGCAAAGCGATGACAGAACATATGTCACACTTTATTTTTTCACTTTATTTTTTAATGGAAAGAGCTAAAAGCCCCATCCCCCAGATGGGCTAATTACACTGAGACTTGAAGACAAGAGAGCTCTCACGGTCCTCCCCAGACCAGCTTCCCTTCTTTCAGGGATCACCGTGACTTAGGAATTCTGAGATTCCTGAGGTGCAAAAAGGGGCCTTGGAGAGAACAGTTCAAACACTAAGGCTGAGGTGTATTTAGACTGCAGAGGGCGGAGCAGACGTGGTGTCACTATGCAACATGAGCTCAGGTGTCCTTGTCCACCAGGGCCAGGAGTCTTGGGAAATCCCATTTCCTGCAAAGTGTGTGATTATTAATGATCGCTTTAAAGGTGACATGCTCCAGGTTGAAGTACTGTCCCGACTCTGATGAAAATACACTGCTGAAGCAGACAGATCTCTTGGAATCACTGAGCTTTGACATCAGTTTACCTCTTAATCTTTCAGCTCAGTGTCTGGACTGCACAATACACTCTGTGTGTGACTGTGTGTGTGTGTGTGTGTGTGTGTGTGTGTGTGTGTGTTCTGGAGGTGCCATCCCAGGCCTCACACATACAAGGCAAGTGCTATACATTAAGTTACACCCGCAGATCTTTGTTAAAATTTAATTTTCTGATAGGGTTCCAAAAAATTGTTCAAGTCGGCCTCAAACTTAATACTTCTGGCTCAGCCTCCAGCGTGAAAACCCCCATGCCCTGCCCTGTACACTAAGGAGTTGGAGTTTATCTGGTTGTTCATGATCTTTTTAACCTGCTAAGGGAACACAATGTACAGGGAGGGGCAAATGAGACAGTAGCTTGCATACGGAAATATCAAGAAAAATAGGGCAGAGACCAGAAGAGCATGTAGGTGAAACTTCTGTTAATATAAAACCGTCTTGCTAATTTGTGGACATCTTTGGGACACTTGGGGCCAAAGTTGTTTAGGCGTTAAACGCGTGGGAAGGAGAGGAGGTGCAAAAGCTCAGAGAAAAGTGTTTTGAAATTGTTGGAATTGGACCCCCCCCCCCCCCCCGCCCCTCCAAAGGGAAGAGGGCTGTGGAAGTCTTCTTTTCCTTCTCTGGGACCCGGGTTGCGTGTCAGGGGCGTGGTGCCGGGGAGCTCCAGGCAGAGTTTAAAGCTCTGCGCTTTGAATCATGTAGGGCTCATTTGGTATAAATCACAAGTTCTGTTGCTTCTGATTTTCACGACTGTATACTCCAGTTATAAATAACATTCCTGGATGGAAGCAGGACAAATAGGGGGTGCGGCAGCGATCTCCAACGGGGGGAGGCCACCGCAGGGAAGGTCTGGGGGGAAGGTCCTCTACTTGCCCACTGGCAAAGGCCAGCTTTTATCCCCTGAAATAGTACTGGGAGTGGGGGTCCCTGGAGGAACCACAGGCGATGTCAGCACGTGACTGCGAAAGCAGAACAGGCTTTTTAAACAAAATCAAGAAAGTCATGCGAGGAAAAAAAAATGGTGAAGAATTTCCCCTATGTGGCAGCATTTGCCTTGCAGAATGAGGTTTGCAAATAGACTCCCCAAACCTCCGCTGTGGATCGCTCCAGCGCAGGACCCTTTTGGCTCCTTCCGCCCCAGCGCCCTCTTCCTGCACCCCCACATCGCACCACCCTAGGGGCGAGAGTGGAGAAGGGGCAGGAGGTGCTGAGCCGGAACTCAGTCCTCGCGCCACTCAGGTCCGGCCCCGAACAAATCACAAATCGGAGTGATTGTTTTCCGAGGAGGGGCCGGGCGCGCGCTGTGGCGCCGGCTGGGTCTGGGTTTCCCCGAGGACAGCCCCCAGCCGCGAGGGCTCAGTGGCTTCAGGCTTGGCCGGGGTGAACTGTGGCAACTTCGGCTGTCCCTGCCGCCCAGCTGGGGCTCGGGGACGAGCGCAGCTCCGCGGGATCCAGGCGTTTGAAGGCTCGCGTCTCCGGCTCCTCCCTCTCCGCCGCGGGTCCCGGGACTCTGGCTCCGCGGCTCCGAGAGGTGGCAGCTGTCTCGCCGGCCACCC